CGAGGCGGCTTTTCTGCGGGCTCCTGACGGCCCCAGCGGCGCTGCGGTTCCATGGTGTAATGGTTAGCACTCTGGACTCTGAATCCAGCGATCCGAGTTCAAATCTCGGTGGAACCTGCCTGGCAGTCTCCTTTTGCCCCCCCCCCCCCCCCCATTTATTTCTCTTCTTAATGTTTAGCTGCTTCTTCCCCCGGGGAGTTTCCTCTTGACCTGCTTCTGCCGCCGCTGGTGGTGATTTTTTTCCCCCTTTCATTTAAAATCGGTGCTTTTCAAATCTGGCTGCTTGAACGGGTGGACTTCAACTCCCAGAATTCCCCATTCCAGCTGCCCAGGGTGAACCTGCCTCTGCAAGGAGCTGAAATGAGCCCCTCCCATTGGGGAGCAGAGTTTATTAGAATTAGAATTAATTATTACAATTAGAATTCGGTCCCTAAAAGGTTTGCCGTCACTGTGTTATTATATACAGTGTAATGAGTGTCTATATAATAACTGAAGTCAGTCTTGATCTGGTCTATCTTGCAGGGCTGACATCATAGTTTGTGCTAGACTAGAGGGATAAATCAGTAAATAGGAAAAAAAAATAAAAATTGCAGCCCGCGGGTCTTTTTTTCCTGTTACTATCTGTTCTCGATACTGAAGCCTTACGAAGCCTGAAAATAAGTGGAAAGAAATTACAGCTACTCCCATTTGATAACAAAAAAATATCTACCAGCATCTTTTTTTAAACTTTTCTTTATTGAGTCTTTGTAAAACTTTAAATAGTCTTTTTTTTTAATGATATTTCAGGAAAAAAAATATGTTTTCCCATTGTGAAGATTGAAATATACACCTCGAAATTGACCTACAAATTGAAACCAAAAATAAACACTTCCAACTGATGTCCTTTTTTTTTGGTAAACAAAATGTAAACAGTTCATATGTACAAATCTACAACCATTCCTTTGTGAAAGTGCTCTTTTGCAAATTAATAAAACGTCCGTTTTGAAATTCCAGTGAGATCATATTTTTGAGAAATACAACTACTTTCTGGAAAACCCACCAAATTTTTTTTTTAATATTTTATATACACATTTACATGTAACAAGTCTCCATTTCTGTCTTTGGGAGTAAAATATTTCCTACTGAATTGCTAAGTTAACTAAGATAAAATACTTTATCAGATTCTTGATAAAGCCCTATTTAAACAGAGTTTTACAAACATTTTGTTCCGTCTGATACCCTGAAGCAAACAGAGGGGAGACTGGTTTCATGATGAGTGGAAGTACAAAACTGTTCCAAAACATTAGGATAAAACAGGATGCTCAGAGAAGGGAAAGCCGTATTTCATTTTCATTCACTGTTTTAAAAATAATAGTAATAACAAAAAGTCCCCGGTTGCTTTTTAAAGGAGCATAACATGAGGCAGAATTTCATCGTTGGGGCAGCAAAGGCCCCAGAATATTCTTTGTTCTCCAAGATGAGTATAAACTAAACTAGGAACTGAACAAGATAAATTCTGGGCTCAATTGTGGTTGTAAGTCTAGGATTACCTGTATTGCTTGACTGAACAGAGAAGGTCAAGGTAAGGTTCCACTTCCTGAACTTGATGCAATGGATCAGGGGTAGTCAACCTTGGCTCTTTTATGACTCGTGGACTTCAACTCCCAGAATTCCTGAGCTAAGCTGGCTCAGGAATTCTGGGAATTGAAGTCGACAAGTCATAAAAGAGCCAAGGTTGACTACCCCTGCAATGGATATTAGCAGATCATTAAATGGTTAGTGAGATGTTGAAGACTCTGTTTTTTAAACCATTTAGTCGTGTCTGATTCTTGGTGACTTTATAGGCAACTTCTCTGTCAAGCACAGCTTCTTTCAGTTGTTGGGTGTTCAACTTGGTGTCTGATTTGCTGGCATCAAGTCAGCAGCTTCTTTGCTTGTTCCGTCTTCTTGTTCTACCAACCATTCCTGGCACTGTTGGCTTCTCCAATGAATTGGCACGCCTGGCACAGCCAAAGAAAATCAGACCTAGTCTTGTGGTTTTAGCCTGTAGTGGTGTTTCTGATTTTATATGATTTAACCCCTCTCCGTTAGATGCTCTGGCTGTCCATGAAGACTGTCCATGCTGGCTGTCTGTGAAGCCTGGGTAATTCCTACTTAAACTGAACGATAGGCTCTCTTTTTAATAGCGCTTTTAATGGTACTTTTGCCGCGATCTTTGATTCAACCACACCTAGAGAGGAGCTGACAGGAAGTGCTTTCATTAGAATGAGACTGCAGGTAGTCCTCGACTTACAACAGTTCATTTAGTGACCGAAGTTACAACGGCACTGAAAAAAAGAGACTTATGGCCGTTTTTCACACTTACAACCGCTGCAGCATCCCCGTGGTCACGTGATCAAAATTCAGACGCTTGGCCAATGGCTCATATTTAGGGCGACTGCAGTGCCCTTGGATCCTGGGATCCCTTCTGACAAGTAAGTAAGTCCATGGGGAAGCCAGATTCACTTAACAACCGTGTTACTAATTTAACAACTGCAGTGATTCACTTAACAAAGGTGACAAGAAAAGTTGTAAAATGAGGCAAAACTCACTTAACAAATTTCTCACTTAACAGCAACATAAATTCTGGGCTCAATTGTGGTCGTAAGTCGAGAACTACCTGGACATTTTTTTTCTGTCAACGTACAGTTGTTCTCGTGGGTGAAGCAAAGCCTCAAGCGAATATTCCTGATCAGGAATCACGTCTGCTAAAACTAAATGAACGATGCTTCCCAGCCCAAGCTTTGATTCTGGCTAGTGGTTCTCTTGATTCCTCAGTTACAGCTCAGAAAGAAGCCAATCCTTCCTTCCATCATGGCTATAAAATACTCTGAAATAGTGGCTTTCATACAGTTCGGAAGCTGGTACCTTCTAAGGAAGTCCTTGTTTAGAGACTGCCTTATTTAGCGACCGTTCACAGTTACAACACTGGTTATATGAGCAATTCTCATATTTATGATCTTCACAGATTGGTAAAGCAAAGGAAAGCTGAAGTCAGATCATAAGCACATGGTGATTTTTCTTTTTCTGCTTCACTTAACGACCAAATGGCCAATCCCAACTGTGGTCACTAAACAAGGATGACCTGTAGCACACAAATGTATTACTGCAGGCACTTACATTTGTTTTCTCTGGAGATGCAATAACTTAGGAACTGTACACAGAAATTAACAGACACATATCTCAAACATTGCTAAATCATTAGCAGTTAAGTGACTTTAGAAATTGTCTATTCACTGATTTAGAACATCCAGCAAAATTATACAATTCCTAGAGAGGACAGTCTAAAAATTACGGCCCGATCCTTGTACTTACAACCATCACAGCACCTCCAGTGATGTGGTCAAAATTTGGATGCTTAGCAACCGGCTTGTTTTTACGATGGTTGCAAGGATGTTTGATCACCATTTGTGACCTTCCCAGCTGGCTGCCGACAAGCAAAGTCAGTGGGGAAAGCTGGATGAATTTAACAATTGTCTTAACCCTGGCCCTGATTTGCTTAACAACCACGGCAAAAAGGTTGTAAAATCAGACGCAACTCGCTTAACAATTGCTTTGCTCAGGGACGGCAATTCTGGTCCCGACTGTGGTTGTAAGTCAAAGACTACCTGTACAGAGAGGCGGGCGTTCTGCTCCAGCCCTCTTGAGACGGTTCTCTGCAATGATCTGCGGTGGCTCCCAATATTCAATCAGGTCTTTCATATAAAAATATCGGGGAAGCTCCGTTCCGTGGGAGAGAAGGAAAGCGACCTCAGCTTCAGTGTCCAAACAGTGACAAACCCGATTAAACTTAAGAAAGCTTCCTATCACTCAGTCAGCAATACTTGTCAGCTCAAATTAGCTAGGTAAATGTAGATTTTGCAGAATAGGAAATATAGGACTGAAAGTTCTGCATTACATAAAAAAAAATGCAAAACGAAAGAAGTGTTTCTTTAGAAAAGAAAAGGGGGTGAAAAAAAAAAAAGACCTGTTCCTATACACAGCAATATTCCGAAAAGTATTGCTTAGACAACCAAGTCCCCTCAGTTCGCTCTAGGAATTTAAAAAGTTAAAAAAATATGAACTTGCTATAAATAATTTAAAATCTGTTGTAATATAACTCTGGCCTGCCTTCTGTAACCCTTCGCACCTTCCCTGCAAACAGTTTATTTCAAAAGCTTCCTTGATGCATGCTCCCTTCCCCGCATGTTTCTGGTCCACCCTGATCCGCCCTTTTCTGCCGCAAAACGCCCCGGATTCTACACCAGCTGGAGCCCGGGGGGGGGGGGTCTCTCGTAATCCCAGGACTGTGTTCCCTACAGGAATTCTCCTTTGGACAAAGGCCCAGGGGAGGGGGGGTTCTCAGTGGAAGAGGAGTCTTTCTGACGGCTGCGGCGGCTGCTGTTGTTCGCCTAAGAAGCACCTCGTGACGCACCCCGGTTCTGTTTAGAGATACGGTTCCCCAAACGTCTTTCGACACTCCATCACTCCGGTACTAGGTGGCCGATCACAGTTGTGAGTGTTCTTGACCTGATTTGTGGTGAGACGATCGTAAGCCATCTTGTATTCTCTGTCGAAAGCATCTGGAGGGAGAGGAAGAAAATGCCTATAGCACTGGGCTTATGGAGGCAGACAGGCAGATACACAGACAGGTAAGTTGGTCGGTCGGTCGGTCGGTCCATCAATAGATAGATAGAGATAGAGATAGAGATAGAGATAGATAGATAGATAGATAGATAGATAGATAGATAGATAGATAGATAGATAGATAGATAGATAGATAGATAGATAGATAGATAGATAGATAGATAGATAGATAGATAGATGATAGGGATGGATGGATGGATGGATGGATGGATGGATGGACGGACGGACGGACGGACGGACGGACGGACGGACAGACAGACAGACAGACAGACAGACAGACAGACAGACAGACAGACAGACAGATAGATAGATAGATAGATAGATGATAGGGATGGATGGATGGACGGACGGACGGACGGACGGACGGACAGACAGACAGACAGACAGATAGATAGATAGATAGATTCCAAGCTGAGCCATGCTGGCTGAGGAATTCTGGAAGTTGAAGTCCACGAGTCACAAAAGAGCCAAGGTTGCCTACCCCTGTATTAAGAGGACTTTACACTTTTCAAATACAATTATGCCTTCTAAGGCCAGAAGTGATAGTTTTCACAGTTTAAACATTTAACACACACTAAGGAGAACATCACTGATAGCTTACCTATATCGATATTATCTCTTCCAAGAGCAACGAGAGAGAGAAATAGTATCTCTCTATAAAGACTCCTGAAACAAAATAGACAAAGATTAAAATGGGAAAGCTTTACTTTTTAATCACAGTTTCAAATCTGCTGTACCAGATTGTGTATTAGCATTTAGATACTGGGCTGCAGGTAATTTGAGGAAGGAACAAATACCTTCTGAGCGAGTGACCAACTGAATCTTCTGAGTTTTTTTCTTCCCTGGGAAAAAAAAGCAGATTTTCAAGACTTTGGCCTTACCTCTGCCTTTTGATCTGTGGTCCTTTGTTCAGCCTCTCTAGGATCTGGCTCATTGGTCCATAGACATCGTTCATCTTAATACTCTTGACCATGTTTCTTAAGAGCTCCTGGTTAAAGAAACTGTCATCCTTTTGCAGTAAACGAACCACTGGGTATTTCTGAGCTGGAGAAAGACATTTAGAAAGTACAGTGAACAACAACAAAAACCCAAGGCTGTCAGCTGGTTTTAAAAATAAAAGAATATCGCATAAAGACAATTTTGTGAAGCTGGGGGTCCACGAATGAAGTGCGACAGGGAACGGGCAGCCGTAAGAAAGAAAGTCTGATCAATGGCATCTATGAGCTGTAAGCCAAGGAATACTGAAGGCCAGGTCAAAACAGGCAGGGAGTCATCTCCAAATCATTACAAGGATTCTTAGTATTTCTCAAAGAAAGTGAAACTAGGACAAGGATTGACAAAGTACACAAAATGGCTGGGAAAAATAAATGTATGCCTAGACAGGATGCCGAAAAGCAACGACATAAAATATGCACATACACACTAGGAAAGGAGGGGGGGGGATTGTTCAAAGTAAGTCAAGAAATAAATAATTTCTCAGCAATAGCAAGATGTAACACAACACTCACTCTCAAACACAAGGGTACGGTTTTGACCTGTAAGACAAGAATGGCGTGATCAAACTCCTAATGCCTATCAGTTCCGGGCTTTTGGCCTGGTGGGAAATCTTTTTCCATAAAATAATAAAGAATACTGATAACTTACTCTGGGCATTCCATAGAATATAGAGGGGCTGTCCTGGATCTTTGTGCAGTTTCATATTGTCCCACAACATCTGAATCAGAACATGCTTGCTGTTCTCCAAGATGCAGTTTCTGGGTATCTGTAGAGGGAGGACACAAAATATCTCAGATACAATTATAAAAGGGTTATAAGGCAGCGTTACCCAGAAGCAAGGTCATAAGGAACGGGAAATGCAAAGAGAAATGGAGTTAGCTCAGGATGAGAAGAGGCACTGGAAATTCCAGAATATAGCAAAAATGAATGCTTCAGTACAGGTAATCCTCAACTTACAACAGTCCATTTGGTGACTGTTCAAAGTTTCAACGGCACTAAAAAAAATGGCTTGTGACTGTTTTTCACACTTATGACCGTGGCAGCATCCCCATGGTCACGTGATCAAAATTCAACTGCTTGGCAGCTCACTTAATATTAATAACGGTCGCAGTGTTCATCTTTTGTGACCTGCTAACCAGCAGTCAATGGGGAAGCTGGATCCGTGTTGCTAACTTCACAACCACAGTGATTCTGTTAACAACTGTTAAGGTCGGAAAATGGAGCAAAATTCACTGAACAACTGTCTCACTTAGCCGTAGAAATCTTGGGCTCAATTGTGGTTGTTAAGTTGAGGACTTTAACATGATTGTAAAGCAGGCTACACATTCTATAGGAGCATAAAAACTTACGCCCACAAGACAAAGCAGCCAGTTTAGCTAAAATGTTTTTGTAAGGTGTGAAAGACTAGGTCCACACACAAAGATTTCAATTAAATTGATTTGTTGATAAAAGTCCATGCACGGGAATCTTCTGAATTAAGGGATAGCACCAGGTTAGCTAGATAATGGTCAACGATACTCAAGGGCGATTGGAGTTGGTGGATTGGAGTTGGCTCTCTTGTGACTATGCAGGGATTCCAGGCTGATTCCCCGTTTCACTCCACCTCCCAGGTTCTGCCACCCTTTCTCCTACAGCTCTTTAAATTAACAACCACACATCCTCAAACAAAACCAACGCTTGCAGTTAGCGTAACACTTTGTTTTCCATACCTTGGAATTTTTATTGCAGTGTTCAGAGGACAGAATTAATCCAGGCAAGCTACTGGGTAAGTCCAACCGTCGGAAGTACCACACCAGGTTCCAGAAGACGATGGGATGATGGTCCACAAACTCTGCCACGGTGATCACGTGATCTCCTTCATTTTCCAACAAGCTCTCAAGTTCTTTCCAGACAACGAGAGGACTTAGATAAGGAACAGTGATGGGCTCCGGGCTAGGCAGATGCCACTCCAGCTGCAAAGACTCCTGCGATGCCAGACAGGGCATAAGGAGAAAGGTGGGTGAGAAACCCCTGTGGAATAATCATGAGAAAAGGGTCCTTGGTTGGGGGACCCTCCTCCTGAATCTCCAGGTATTATTAGTATACCTTTTGATTTTCCTGTGATTTGCTGGGTTTTAAAACTTCTGCTTTGACTATTTTTAACCACAGAGAAGTTTTTGTCTTATGGCCTATTGTATCTTATTAAATTGCATTTTAATGGTTTCTATTATTCCTTTCCTTAAAGGAGTCCAGAGCGCTGCTCAAAAACAATGTAAAAGGCAATTGCTAGTATAGGTTAAGTCCTCAACTTACGACCAGAATTTCTGTTGCTAAGCATGGTGGATGTTTAGTGAGTCATGTCCAATTTTATGATCTTTTTGCTAGGGTTGTTAAGAAAATCACTGTGGTTGTTAACTGAAGCATGTGATTGTCAAACGAATCCAGCTTCCCCCACTGATTTTGCTTGTTGAGAACTGGTTGGGAAGGTGGCCAATGGCGATCACCTGCCCAAAGTTTGATCACATGACCATGGGGATCCTGCAATGATCCTGAACCAGAGGTAGGCAACCCTGGCTCTTTTACGACTCATGGACTTCAACTCCCAGAATTCCTGAGATAGCCACGCTGAGGGGAAAGGAAGAGGTTTCCAAGCTGAGCCATGCTGGCTCAGGAATTCTGGGAGTTGAAGTCCACGAGTCGTAAAAAAAGCCAAGGTTGCCTACCCCTGTCCTAAACACTTTTAACAGTGTGGTCATAACTTGAAATGATTGCTAAATGAATGATGTTAAATTGAGGGCTATCTGTAAAACAATCAACAATAAAACTACCACCAGTCCAAGAACAGGAATGATTTAATTCCTACTGCAATTCCTCTGATCGTATTCAGCAAAATGATTCTATAATTAAACCTTAAAGTGGTTAAGGCACCCAGCTAGAAAGCAGGAGACTGCTGGTTTTGGTTCAGCCTTAGGCACAAAAGCCAATTGGATGACTTTGGGCAAAATCACCAAGAGACTGTGAATTCTAGTCCTGCCTTAGACATGAAAACCAACTGGGTGATTTGGGGCCATTTGGCCTCTCTCGGCCCAACCTGCCTCACAGGGTTGTTATTGGGGGGGGGGGAAATAGGAGGAAGAGGAAGGTGTGCTGGAGATGTTCGTCCCTTTGAATTGTTTGTAAAAATAATAAAGGTAGGATACAGACGAACAAGCACACAAATATCACAGCAAGACTTGATCCAGGCTATGTTTCTTCTGAAAATCCAAGTGAGGAACACAACACTCGGACCCTTACCATTCTCTGCTGGAAAGTTGTAGGCAGGCTCCCTGTGGGCACCACGTGGTTGTGTGTATGGACTCCCACTTCATCTATCTCTAAAGAACTGTAGGCACTGACGCTTCTTGACAGGGGGTGCCCAAGCGGTTCGTCTTTGGATGAAGGATGCCTTCGCTGAGAAGGGATCTGAATGCTCTTGGCACAGAGGGTGTCCAAATGTTTTGTCTTGCAGCTGCTGAAAGAGGTTACATGTTGACTGGAGAACTACATCAACTGCTGAGAAGATTCCAGGCAGGAAGAAAGATACTGAAGGCTGATAACTAGCCTGGAACACAAGCCATCTGTCTTCCTCTAGTACAGGGGTCTTCCAACTTGGCCCTTTTATGACTTGTGGACTTCAACTCCCAGAATTCCTCAGCCAGGCACGCTGGCTGAGGGATTCTGGGAGTTGAAGTCCACAAGTCACAAAAGGGCCAAGTTGGAAGACCCCTGCTCTAGTGTCTAAGCCATTTAAAGGATAACAGAGTTGGAAGGGGCCTAGGAGGTCTTCTAGTCCAACCCCCCTTGCTCAAGCAGGAGACCATACAGCATTCTGGACAAATGGTTGTCCAATCTCTTCTTGAAAACCTCCAGTATTGGAGCACCCACAACTTCTGAAGGCAAGCCGTTCCACTGATTTATTGTTCATACTGTGTGAACGTGGTCAAATGGCTTTTTCCATGAATTTGCAAGTCCCTTCTCTCCATCCAATTAACCTCACCAGGTTTGGGGTGTTGGGGTTTAGAGGGTAGTTCATTTTGACAAAAAGACAGTTATAAATGCAGTTATGAATGCTTTAAAAATCGTGAAATAAACGTACCCTTCTGAAACCAAGTCATTTTGAGCTGGAATTAAAGTCGCAGTAAATCCTGAAAGGGGATCAGCAACGCACGTTTTGTCGGCCTGGTTCATAAAAGGGAACGGAAGCTGGATGTTTTCCGAAGAAGGACTGGGCTTCAAGAAGTACCTACAAAGATTATGCTCACGTGATTATGAAATTGTTGCATGTGGAAAAACACTGTGAAATAAAAATTCCCTTTCCAAAGGAGCAGTAAACGAGTACCTTCCGGGTCCCCGGAGATCTCGGATTTCAATATTCAGGAAAGGCAAGAAGAGGTTTCCACAGAAGGGGCAGGTGGTGTTCAGGTTGGAGTCGTCCGCGGTCCAGCCTGCCATGATCTCTTCGTCATGGACCAGGCAGTCGCAGGTCCGACATCGGGAACAGCTGGAGATCAGGACCTGGGGGAGGCACTGAGTTAAAGCCACGGGAGAGTACTTTTTTTGGGGGGGGGGGCATACAATAACAAGATGCTGGAAAAAAAGGATGTCTCTTTGAGACAAAAATACACTTGTACTTTTTCCAGTCTGGTGCTCTGCCTGCAAAAAATGAGGATCTTTTTATGCCATTTTTAGAAAGATACATGTTGCCAGAGCAGGAAAGTTGAGTCTGCAATTATGGTCAGCCAAAATTTAATCCTTCCTTCCTTCCTTCCTTCCTTCCTTCCTTCCTTCCTTCCTTCCTTCCTTCCTTAATCCTCTTTTCCTTCCTTTTCTTTCCTTCTTTTCTTCCTTTTTTACTTCCTTCCTCTCTTGTTCTTTTCCTTCCTTCCTTCCTTCCTTCCTTCCTTCCTTCTTTTTTTCCCCACATAGCAGCTCCCATATCCTGGGGCTATCCAACACAGGTCATTCCAGAAGGCAATGGTGCTTTGCAGGGTTTTATTGAAGGGTGATACGTTCCTTAGAACATACCTGTCCAAAAATGTTCCTATGAAATTCCAGCTAATTAAATTGCAAACTTCCTTGGATTGAAATGTTAGGACTTTTAAGGATAAATGTAGTGTGACAGTAGAGGGGAAATAAACCTTCTTTTGGAATCTGTTTCGCCAGGTTTATGGTAGCGACAGCAAAAAATAACCGTACCTCCAGGGCGTAATTCTGGAAAACGCTGGTGCTGCTTGGACTGCAAAAGGGAACCACCTCTGCTTTTGAAAAAGAGCCTAAAAAAGCAAAAGGACACAGTCAAAACAAATATTTACACTAGTTAGTTCTGGGAAAGACGATCTCCTCCCAGCTGCCCCCTCCCTTTAACTTCAGAGAGAAAGGGGTAATAATCCTAGAAAGAATAGAAAGAATTAAAATGTATTTGGCACCTGACTCCCAACAACTCTGGGCAGTTTACACGTTATATAAAACATTACAGAAGACATTCAAACGTGACCAAAATTCAGCTGCTTGACTGGTTCATATTTATGACGGTCACTGTGTCCCGGGATCACGCGATCACCTTTGTGACCTTCTGACAAGCAAAATCAGTGGGGAAACCAGATTCACTTAACAACAGTGGCAAGAAAAGTGGTAAAATGAGGCAGAATTCACTCAACAACTATCTCGCTTAGCAACAGAAATTTTGAGTTCTATTATTGTGGTCGCAAGTCGAGGACCGCCTCCACTGGCCAAAGGAACTTAATTTAAACCTTTCCATTGCACTTTTTTCCTCCCAGTCATCCAATGGAAAAAAAAAGCAGGAATCCTAACCCAGGGCTCCATTCCGAAGGAGAGAAACATGGATCTCCTGCAGGAAAATGTGAGCCTTTTTTTAACCCTTATTGTATCTGAACCCTGGCCCGGTTTTGATTTGGCAAGATTGAATTCCTTGGGCCATTTTAATACCGTCCCCTTCTGGAAGGAGAAGCGGACGTCCCGCCAGATAACACGGTGACCGGCGTTTCCCAAGCCTGCGTCAGCTGAGGAGACGACAGCAGACCAGGAAAAAAAAACATCTGGGCAGCTCTTACCACAGTGCGAGGAACGCTTTGAGGAGCCGTTGTGAGAAGCGGCACTTTCCAGACTGGTGGAGCTCAGGCCGATGCGCTTGAAAGCTGACGACGCATCGTCCCAAGGAGAAGAGCTGCTTTCCAGATCGTTGCACACGTCTTCGTCGGTGAGAGAGGCAGATTCCGAGTCCAGGGCCCCGAGGGACGACACGCTTGCTCGGTCTGAGTTTTGATCCTGAAACAAGAACAGGCAGGAGGAATTCGGGAGTTGCTACAGATCCACATCTGGCGGCAAGCCTTTAGTGGCAAAGCAGCACAAGTGGCCCTTGACTTACGACCGGTCGAAGTCACAATGGACCTTCTTTGGGCTACTCGCTACCTGGTTCCGAAATTCCGAGGGTCGGGCCCCTCCCACGGTCCTGGCACTGAAGTTCGGACAGTCGGTAAGAAGGCCGCATTTACAGCTGTTTACAGCTTCCCACAGCCAGGCAGTCAGCATTTTAGGACAGCTTGGCCAGAAATCGGCAGTTGCTTCCAGTTTTTGGCCAAACTCGGCCCTCACTGAACGAACCATCGTGCTTAATGGCTGCTGAACGACTGCCATTAAAAAAACAGGTCACAAAATCAGGTCAGTCACTCCCATTCCCTTCTAACGCTGATGATGTTACCAAGTTGGGTAAGGAAACCTCTGCAAGAAAACGACCAAGCTCGGAGAGCACCAAGGGCACCAGAACTAAAGTTCCCTAATTAAGTAGTTCCCTAATCAAGAAGTTAGGGACAACCACTTGGCCACTAATATTGGCAAGGCAAACCACTTAAAGAGAGAGCAAGCCCCACTCCTTTCTAACACTGATGATGTTACCTAGTTGGGAAATGAAATGTCTACAAGAAAACAACCAACTCAGAGAGCGCCAAGGACCACACGGTTCAGCACTGAGTTACAGACATTCTCTTCTACCAGTACTAATCTTGTAGCCCTCATGATTCTAGCCAATTCAGAGGAGTATAAACATCACCTAGGACAGGGGTGGGCAACCTTGGCTCTTTTATGACTCGTGGACTTCAACTCCCAGAATTCCTGAGCCAGCATGGCTCAGCTTGGAAACCTCTCCCTTTCCCCTCAGCGTGGCTGGCTCAGGAATTCTGGGAGTTGAAGTCCACGAGTCATAAAAGAGCCAAGGTTGCCTATCCTTGACCTAGGACTTTCACAGCCTTTAAAGGCAACTCTGACGAAGCTGAAGAAGGGTTCAACCCTGAGCCATCCAGGGGTGGTGAAGGACAAGCAGCCCCGTCGGAATCTCTGCTGAACCGTGTATTTTCACGACAACCATTTGAAAGGCCTTACCTTCGATGCTGCCGCGTAGGTGGCGAACTTTGAATACCACTTGCTGGCCTTCTCCGCCACCCCTTTTCCTGCAGAAAACATGCTGCTCTTCAGAACATCGAAGGTTGGGGTCAGGAGCGTGTCCAGGTTGAAGGAGGTTGGAGAGGCGAGTGCTACTGCATCAGCCATGTCTTGAGACTGCCCCCTTGACAAATTGTTCGGAGAGAACACGGGAGAGGACCAAAGCCGGTCCCTCCCTCTTTCATTTTTGACCTGGTAGCTCTTGGATTTGGGGAGCGTTATTGACCTGGGTGAGTTTGGAGGGAGGCTAGATCTTCGGCACGGCTGGCCTAAGGTTGGACTCTTTCTGTTGGGATTCTTGTCGCCGTAGGCCTTTTGCAAATCGATGCTGGGGGTCCGGCTTGTTAAAGGACTACTCATATTATTCATGTACATCTCGATTTCCTCCGCTAAATCGCGCCTGGCTGATGGGGTGGAGACCCTCTTCTCCCCCTCCTCCTCCTCCTCTTCCTTCCCTTGCCCCTTTTCAGCTGCCAACAAGGAGAGTGGATCAAAGCCGGTTTCAATGTTAACCTTCTCGATGGGCTTCAGCGGAAAACTTATAGCCCGCTGAACCTTCTTGGGCTTTTTATGCATCAGCTTCGCAGGTTTCACCGGGACGGGTTCATTATCCAGGTCTTCCAAATCAAATATAACCGGAGACTCTATCTTAAGCACAAGGCCGTTCTCGTAGGCTGTGTCTTCATCACTAGATTCTTTTTCCAGATTGATCTTCCGACCGGCTCCCGAAGAAGCTGGTTGGAGATTGAGAGTCTTTGGCCTCATTCTTTTCTCAAACATCTTAGAAAGGATTTTGGCATCCACGCCCAGTTTTTCCACAATTTCTTCCGGTCTGGCTTCCTGATTAATCTGATTCTTCATAAGCTCCATTAAAGCATCTCCACTCAATTTCCTGTTTCGCCAAACCATCCATTTGTGTTCGGTTTCAGCTGCATTTAAATGCTTGTTTCTCAGCTTTTCAGCTTTAGTGGCTCCTGTTTTATTGATATTGTCAAAACAAGAGAAGAGCAATCCCGCAGAGGTATCTGGAAAGAAAGAAAAAAACCCCACATGGACAAAATCCAAGGATATTACATTAACTTACTAAAACACCGGCAGACTCACAGGATCCCCTTAATATGCTCACGGGGTTTTGCTGCAGTTATTTTTAAATGAAAAGGCTGGAAGCCTTACTTTTCTATTCAATTTACCATGCGTTTTCAGGAAAATCTGGCCACTTGTGAATAACCATGTGCAAGGGGAATGTAAAGTAAATCAAATATCCATAAATTTTTAGCCATGCTTAGAAAGAACTGTCAGCCACATCAGCTTACCTATGCGGCATCCATCTCCTGTGCCATCTGATATTTTGCCAGTTGTGTCATTAACACGAACAATCCTTGAACCGAGCGTGACACAATTGGAATTTTGATAATTTAACGCTGGGAGGCAATCACCGCTTCCCTTTCCACTCTCAATTTCGGACACTATATGCACATAAAAATGGATGAGAATTGATCAAAAGTGAAACTTACTCTTAATCAACCATGGTTGGAATTAAAACAAATCAAGCATGAATATGAAAAAAAAAAATCAAGTTCAATTGCATTGCATTTGATACATACAGGAACTTGAGTCACTCTCTTTTTTCTCATCTCTCTGGTCGATACTCTTCTGGATGTTTGTTTTCCCTTGCTTAACTGCTTCTTTAGATAACTTATATAAGAGATCAGAATGTTCCCCTATTAAAATAAAACAAATAAAATGAATTTAAAAAGCAGGGTAAAATGTATCCTAAAAAGTGCAATAGATCTCCCCAAATAAGGGGATGATGTTGTATATGGCTTGTTTTATTTTCAGTAACTGTATGGAGAAAAAACTGCCGTAGCTGATACTTAATAAAAGCATGGCTCTCTAAATCAGGACCGTGCTCCTTTTTTTTCAGATTGAAGACCTCATTTAAGCCTCTAAATCAGGGGTAGGCAACCTTAGCTCTTTTATGACTCGTGGACTTCAACTCCCAGAATCCCTGAGCCAGTTGGCTCAGGAATTCTGGGAGTTGAAGTCCACGAGTCATAAAAGAGCCAAAGTTGCCTACCCCTGCTCTAAATGGAACCGGGGCGTTATAGATGAACTAAAGGTATCTTAAATCTAATTCAGTTCTACTTTAATTAATTCATTTCGAGTATTTCAATAAGGAACATCTCAGTCGGGACAACCGTCGTGGCAGTAAGATCCCGCTAGTAGGAACTAGAACCTTGTTCTATTAGTCGTAATTTGACCCAATTATACACAAACCCATATACTCGTTAGATGTCACGAGCGATCAGTTCTCTCTTTTTTTAGCATGATCATTGTGCTAGTAAGTTATTTATTTACTTAGGCTCAGAAGCATCCTCACCGAGACGTGAAAACATTTCTTGCAATTCTAGCGGTGTAAAGTACAAACATTCCTTGAGTTACAAAACAGGAAACACACACAAACGATTTACCAGATAGAGTTTTGTGGATTCCGTTTGCAGGCTGCTTCCTTAGAGCTCTTTTAAACTGAGTTATTCCTAAAATGACATTTCTTATCTTGGTCCACAGGAAGTAGCCACTTCGATTGCTCGATGGCCAACTGCTTTCCAAAACAGCCTGCAACAACATCAAATGGATGTTAATCATGCATTTCTGAGGATCATGACCAAGCATACCTTTAGGTCAGGGGTCTTCAAACTTGGCCGTTTTATGGCTTCTGGACTTCAACTCCCAGAATTCCTCAGCCAGGCAAGCTGGCTGAGGAATTCTGGGAGCTGAAGTCCACAAGTTCTTGTTTTTAATTTAATTCAATATGGGGGGTTTCACAATGGAGGTGGTGGATAGAATAATAACAACATCCCCCCTCCCCAACTTAGGGTTGAATATTTGAATGTTTATTGTATTTTATTTATATGGTCTATAGGCTTTGTATAGTTTTATATTTTCAATATTGTAAGCTGTCCAGAGTTACCCTGTGCCTAGATGAGCAGCCAATAAACTTCATAAATAAATAAATACAATTGGTTTTTTTTATTATAATATTTATATGCAGCTTTTATGTCTTATGTCTATTTGTACACCGCCCAGAGTTGCTGCATAAGGGAAATGGAAAGATTTTTTTAAATATGATACATAAATAAACACAGATAAGCTTGTACGGAGTATGGAAAGGATGCTGGAGTGGCTTGGAAAACAAGTGCTAATCAAAGTCAGAGGAGTGAGCTGGTACTTCCATCTCATTTGGTCCCAAAGATCCAATTTACCTTATTGTAATAACCATAGGTAATGGCGTTAGGATCGATGCCAGCCTTCTTCATCTCAAAAAGGATTTTTACGGCTAAGACGGGCTGACTATATTGCCCGCACAGCTGCATCAACACCCGGTAACACACCTGACCAAAACAAAAGAGATGGTGGTTACTTGTTCACTCTCAGAACGCTTACGCACCTGACATCGGCCTCACCTGCCAGAAAGCCCGCCTCTTTACCTCGTCAGGTGGCTCGATCTTTTTCATGTGCATCTTGCGCAACACATCGTAGGCCGTCCTCAGGGCCCTGACTTTGGAATGGCAAACGCGGACATAAGCAGGCAGGCAGATGAACCACAGGCCGTAGCAATGGCGTAGTAAACACCTGGACCACATCTGGGGGATGGAGGAATATCTCTTCGCCATCCTGTGCGCGGACTTGATTTCCTGCAGAGAGAGGCAGGAAGGAAGAGGCTTCAAGCACGGTAGACCTTGGAGAACATGCGCCAAAGCTCCTTCAACGACAGGTGGTCCTCGACTTACGACCACAGTTGAGGCCAAAGTTTCCACTGCTGAACAAGACAGTTGTTAAGTGAGTTTTGCCCCATTTTACGACCTTTCCTGCCAGACTTGTTAAGCGAATTGCTGCACTTGTTAAGTTGGTAAGACTGCTAAGTTGGTAAGTGTATAAATTACCTGTTTTGTTCTCCTGAACACTGGCAAAGGACTGTTTGGGCTGCTGGCTTTCGAAGACAATTTGCTGTTTTGCATTGTCAAAAGTCCTGCTGGCTGTTCAAATAAATTTTGCTTTAGTACCGGAAATCCATTGTAGCTGCAAAATAATAAGACAGACTTTTATTTACTTGTACTCAACAAGCCCCTGAAGGCTCCTTCGTACTTTGCCATTAAGGTAGAACATCTGGAGCATGTCTAAAATGCTTCTTTCCTGAGTGGACCGTATTATATTTCATCTCTTGTAGGAGACCACAAAGGGTGCTGAGAAGGGCTGATACTTAATTGTCACTTATTTTTTTACTGATGTACTTATTTCTAAAATGTACATTTCGTTCATACGTTGTGCAACACACATTTTCTCTTGGAAAGAAACACTTCCAAATTCTGAGATCCAGAGGTTTATGTTGACATCACTTTCTTGGGCTGCTGAACATCAATTTCTGATAAATCCAATGCTCTGGTCTCTGACAGTTGTTCCCCAAAGTCTTAGTTAGAAAGTATGCTCTGTCATCTGATTATAACAGAATAATAAAGTTTGGAGGTCTTCTAATCCTCCCGCCGCTCAAGCATGAGATCCTATACCATTCCAGACAAACAGTGGTCCAGTCTCTTCTTAAAAACCTCCAGTGATGGAATACCCACATTTTCTGTAGGCAAGCTGTTCCACTGATCAATTGCTCTCACTATCAGGAAATTTCTCCTTAGTTCTAAGTTGGATCTCTCTCTACTGATCTTCCTCCCGTTACTTCTCGTCCTGCCCTCAGGAGCTTTGGAGAATAAATCAACCCCCTTTTCTCTGTGACAGACCTTCAAGTACTGGAAGCTATCATGCCACCCCTAGTCCTTCTCATTGTTAGACTAGAGGTAGTTCCTTCAATCATTCATCATATGTATTGGCCTCCAGACCCCTTATCATCTTTGTTTCTTTTCCCTGCAAAGTTCTTGGGTCTCAGGATCTTTTCTGTATTGTAAACTGGATTAGACATCAATGGATATCCTCCACTGCTGAGCCAGAGGACTGGTACCCATGAGAATCAAAAGACATGGCAGACTGACCTAGAAGACACACACTGAGGTCTCTCCATGTCATTGTTCACAAAACTAGTTGCCGTTCAGGAAACTATACACATACTTAAATTTCAGGATTTAACCATGATGGTTTTTTATGCACTATTCAGTTAGAGTAGACTGACAACTTCATTAGTATTGACTACATTTAAAAATGCAGTTTATAAAGCTGATTTAGTTTCTTGTGAACTAGCAGAAACAATAGCCCATGAAAATCGATACTACTCTGTAAATTCATTTGGAAGAGAGAAATTAGATGGACTAAGTTGGAGTCTCAGAATGGGTGAAAAACAACAGAATTTTTTTTTTGTCTGGGACATTAAATAATTAAATTCATTACATGCATTTTATCTTAATTGGTACGAGAGACTCTTTAGCTGTTGCTGAAGTACAATGAAAAGGCGGTTAAAACTAAAGTAAAAAAATATCTGTTCGAAAGGCTCGTCCACTCAATGATCTATTAGGACAACTGCCATATAGCCATTTGTACACAGGTGGAAATATCCTAGTAGCAAATCCATGCATAACTAAAATGTACCCATTTAAACCCACTGAAATGATTGCAATCAAGAAGACGAAAACAGACGTTAATTAAAATTGCTCAGCTGTAAAAAGCTGCAGCAATGACAATGGATAAACTATACAGCAAGAATGATAAAACATGTTCTAAGCCTGGGAAATGAAGAAAACATTAGAAAGAAATTCAAATTGACTCCACCTCAACTCCCTTAAGGCAAAGCGCAAGCTTTCATTCTGATCTAGCTTTCATAATAGCCTAGATCAGAATTTCTATTTTTTATGATAGCCTAGATTTCTCAATCTTGACAGCTTTAAGCTATGTGGACTTCAGCATGCTGGTTGGGTAAACGTGGAAGCTGAAGTCCACAAGTCTTAAAGTTGTCAAGGTTGGGAAACAACGGCCTAGATCAAGAAAGGAGAGACAGCATTCTTATGGAATCAGCTTCCCGATTAAATCTAACTTGAAAGGCTGAGTTTAATTCATTAGCGGTTGAGTCTGCATACTTCTGAAGGCATGCACTGTAGCCCTTTTTAGAGAGATCTAATCTAGCCCAGAGATGGTTCTATCATGGAAAATCAAACCTTGAAATTTGTGATTTTCCATTCCCTCCCAGGTAGAATTATAGCACCAAATACAGGTAGCCCTTGACTTACAACCATTTGCTTATTAACCTTCCCAAGTTACAGTGGCACTTAAAAAAGGGACTTATGACTGCTTTTCATACTTACAACCATTGTGAATCGTTTCTGGTGAGATCACCCAAATTAGCATGACACAGAAAGTCATTGACAGATACTGGAAGGCAAGAAATATTTCACCGGATGGCTTGAAAATGTCCCCAGGATTACCTGTATTGATATGGGAGCTCCTCTCCATTGGGCAGATGAGGAATCTCGGGGGGTGTTATGAAGACGGTGTGCTCGCTCTTGTGGGACTCATCAAGTTCTATAAGCCGCGTGTCCCCTGTCTTGTCTACATCCACCTGTCCAAAATGGATAAAAATGATCATACATTTCTTGCCAGGAAGTTAGCAACCCTTCCTTCAGTGAGCCTTTGCAAACAGTTGCCAGGACGCGGATTAAGGGATAACGTTAAAAACCTCTATTAAAAACTACTTTGTGTTGATTTGTCGGTATTATTTCTAATTCTACCGATCTCGTAGAAACAGGAAAATCCTCTTTCTTGCATTCTTTTTCTGACTGACTCTATCGGGTTGTTTTCAACACAGTTTCTTTCAAAAAATAGATGCTCTGTGAAGAGGTTGCTTTCATGCAGCCTCTTTCAACCTTGGCAACCTTCAAGGTGTTTGGACTTCAATTCTCAGAATCCTTCAAAGCTCCAGGTTTGAGGAAACACAGGCTTTCGTGTAATGGTCTCATGCCTGGAATTCTCCTGCAAACATTTTTTGCAATTTTTCAGCCTCTTCGCAGAGACAACGTGAAGTTACTATTATTATTATTATTATTATTATTATTATTATTATTATTATTATTATTATTATTATTATTATTATTATTATTATTATTAATAATAATAATAATAATAATAATAATATTAATATTATTTGGATGTAGGTATTCATTTAAATCAGCAAGCTTGCTTAGCTGTGTTTAACAACATTATACAGGCAATTCTGTGTGCCGTTTTCTTAAAGCCATTTTTTTTCCCCCACAGCATCCTATGTCACCGAGTCTCAATAGAAAGCATGTTTTCCTGCCAGCTGAAGAGCTGTCATCAATAAAATGGCACCTGGGGGTGCTGGCCCTCTTTCTATAGCATGCAGGAAATGTGCTTAATTTTCATAGTTGCTATGTTCATTCCTCTCAGGTGCCTGATAAGCCGTTTTCATATTTGCAGCAGTTAGCCCAAGGGGATTCTTGCAAAAATAAATGTTAAGTCTTCAAAAGACTTCCACAGCACAGCCGCAGTGTAGCATTTCAAGGACACGTTTTGAGACTGAGAGCAAGCCATGAACGTATTAATTACTTGGACAGACTATAAAATCTGTCTGAAGCAAAATGGTGCTGATAATAAACCTCATTATACAAACCCATTACAAATGCAAGCTACACTGGAAGCTACGACACCTCAGAGTTCATTATTCTATTTCTTTTTTCTTTTTCAATGCCTAGTGGAAATACCACATCAACCAAAAGCCCCCCAAACTATTAATATTTGAACGAGAATGGTGTTTGGGTCAAGATCACACACAAAAGGAAAAATGGGAAGCCAAAATAATAAAATAGAAGGTGCCAAAGAAAAAATGAATTGTTTTGAAGTTGGCTAGCCTTCCCAACCAGGAATAGACGTTGTTAGAACAATATCCTTGATGGAGAATTAAAGAAGACCTGGACTCTACATTGAAGAAGGGGCTGACCTCAGTGGTCTAGAATAGATCATCCCATCCAAAAGTAGGTTTCTATGATTTATCATGAAGTTAATCTATTCTTGGAGCAGAAAGGTGGTAAATAAAGAGGATCCTTGGTCATCCTCAGCAGGAAGTGGCTGTTTGGTTCCACACACTGTTTGCTGAAGTTCTTTATCCAAAAGATAAATCTCCTCAAATGAAGGGATCTAGGTAACATCACTAGACACAGCAAGCCACATGATCCAGTTTTGGTCCCCACATTACAAAAAAGATGTTGAGACTTTGGAAAAAATGCAGAGAAGAGCAACTAAGATGATTAAAGGCCTGGAGACAAAAACATATGAAGAACGGTTGCAGGAACTGGGTTTGGCTAGTCTAGAGTAAAGAAGGATTAGGGGGGACATGATAGCAGTATTCCACTATGTGAGGGGCTGCCGCAAAGAAGAGGGGGCAACTTATTTCCCAAAGCACCAGAGGGCAGGACAAGAAACAATGGATGGAAACTAATCAAGGAGAGAAGCAACCTGGAACTAAGGAGAACCTTCCTAACAGTGAGGACAATTAACCTTGCCTTCAGAAGTAGTAGGTGCTTCATCACTGGAGGCTTTTAAGAAGAGACTGGACAGCCACTTCTCTGAAATAGTATAAGGTCTTTTGCTTGAGCAGGGGGTTGGACTAGAAGACCTCCAAGGTCCCTTCCAGCTCTATTCTGATTGATTGCTCCATGGTTGGTGACAGGTGAAAAAGAATCTTGCCTTCCATAAAGTCCACCTGAGTCCACCAGGAGAAGGGCGGGATATAAATGCAATAAACTTGAAACTTGAAAGACAGTTGAAGAGAACACCTCTAATAAGCTGTGATCCTGGCAGCCGAGTTGTGCTTCGTGACTCATTTGCTAGGCTAATGCAATCTTTGAAGGATGATTTCTTTTTTTCTAAGACAAGCTCACTTTGTATGCAACACACAACAACTAATCCCCAGTCATTTTCTATTCTTAGGTTACGCTTGAGGGACTCTAGCCAGATCTATTCTGTCACTCTTTTCCCAGAGGGAAAAGGAGAAAAACATAAGCTTCTTGTGTCTACCAAATGGAGAGAGATTGTGATAATACACACACAACCCATATGAAAAAGGAATGAGCAGACACTTTTTCTCCCTCTCAGAGAGTTTGTACTTTAGGAATATACTTTATCCTATCAATTTATGCTTTAAAAAAGCCGTACGCTAAATAAAATAATATTTTAAAGTTAATACTTTGAAACCATTGTTATCTTAGCAGCTTCCATGGAATTGCTTTTTGGAGTTGTTGATTTGCTTGGTTCTTTTCTTTCTATTACCCACCTCAATCGTCTAGTTTTGTATTTTCTTGCATCCTGCTTCATGGCAACCTTCCTCAGCCTGATATCCTCAAGATGTTTGGGTAATATCTCCCCATATCCCTAGCACAGAGGTCCCCAACCCCTCTGCTGTGGACTGGTACCGGGCCACAGCCTTCCAGCAACCGGTCCACACAAACAAGCAAAGCCCCATCCGTGGGATGCAGGTAGCACACAAAACATGCACTTTCCGGTCCGTGGAAAAACCTTTCTCCACGGAACCGATCCCTGGTGCCCAAAAGGCTGGGGACCTCTGCCCTAGCAGACATCCTAAATAGGGTAAGATGAGGAATGTCCTCCCTCAGACCAGCCAAGTAATTCTCTGAAGTGGGGGAGAATGAAAGGAAACTGATCAAGAACCCTCTAGAAACTAGTTTGGACCACATCTCCTCCTCAGTGAAAACAAGAAAACAGTCATACCTTTCAAACCAATTAAAGAACAGAAGAAGAGGGGGTGTAAATCAAATTATTCTTTCTTTAACCAGTATGTTTTTCTCGCGAGACATTTAGGCAACTGTAGCCAGTTAGAGGTGGGAGTCCCTCTATGTTTTAGCGAGTGGCCAAAAATCTTTGGCGCAAGTATAGTCAGATGTTGTGGGATGCCCAAGCAGACTTACTTTATTCACACAGTCATCAAAAAAGGCAAGGCTTGCATCTTTATCGCTAACAAAAGAGCATTCTTCAATGAAGCGAATGAACATCTGCGTCTTGGTCATCATTGTGTAAAACTTTTGATGTGAACGATCACGGCTTTTTAAGAATCCTGGAAGATTGAAAAAAAGATGATGTTATAGATCCTACTAGCAGAAAAACAAGGAGCAAATATTCTATGAAAAAAGGAAGAAAGGAAATTGGACACAACCAATTAATTTATACGCTCACTAAGCCATGTATATTTTGATCTATGTGTCTTTGTGTCTTTTTCTGCCTGTGTGTATTATTCAGCCACCCAGAGTCACATTTTTGCAAGATGGGTGGCCATATAAATTTGAGATAGATAGATAGATAGATAGATAGATAGATAGATAGATAGATAGATAGATAGATAGATAGAATGGACAGATTGCTCCATATCTCTAGCCAACAAATACAACAGGCTGTGATTTACCTTGCAATTCAAAGAGGGAGCTCGCATCGGTTGCCGTCTCTGAAGGGGCTTGCGTAATAGGCCTCAGATAGGACCTATAACCTTTTAGGATCGAAGCCATAAAAGTGAGAAACGCCTCTTGAATTTCTACATCTAACAGATGCAGCTTTGAGCCTGACTGAACATCGTAGTCATTCATAGCCAGCTCCATTAAAGCATCGTCTCGTGGTCTTTGCTGCACTGTGGATAAAAAAGCAAAGTAGAAATGCCAAAATATGAGTATATCTATAGAACTACAGACCTTGGAAGTCTTCTAGTCCAACCACCTGCTCCAGCAGGAGACCCTATGGTCCAGGGGTCTTCAAACTTGGCCCTTTTATGACTTGTGGACTTCAACTCCCAGACTTCTAGGAGTTGAAGTCCACTCATCTTAAAGTTGACAAGGTTGAGAAACACTGCTCTAAGGCAGGGGTCTTCAAACTTGGCCCTTTTATGACTTGTGGACTTCAACTCCCAGAATTCCTGAAGTCCACAAGTCCTAAAAGGGCCAAGTTTGAAGACTCCTGCTCTAAAGATTTAAATAAAAGGAGAATTTTTTTTAACCTCATCCAGGGTTTCAAAGTGCAAATGGGGTGCTGGGTCCCTCAACGCTACTTCCCCAAAGCACAAATTTTCCTCTGTATAACCTGAATTTAATTCCCCTCTGCTCCTCCTGGACATTAAAAAGGGTTTCACTATCATAATGAACCACAACCACAACATAGAAGCGCTTCTGGGCCCTCCTCCACTTACATGCTGCCAGCTGCTGGTACAAGTGATTTAGAGTGCTCATCAGTTTCTTACAAGGTTTCTTTGGCAAGATCTTCCATGCGATTGTTCGCTTATCTCCTGGCCTGGAATCCAAAGAAAAATTCATTAGGGACTCATTGTGTTTCTCAAATATTTGGTCAAATCAAAGCATCAGAACTCCAGGAAGTGATTTCTGCTTCAGTACTGTCAGTTGAACCTAATTCAGTGGAATGAGGATCTTCAAATAGAGTTTCAATGGATCACAGAATCATCAAGCTGATCTCAGTTTTCCAGTTGTATTTCATCTTAAGAAATATTCTTTCAGCACAAGGATTTCAACTTTTTGTTGTAATAAAGCTTTTCCGAAGTACTAAGGATAACGGAAGACTGTCTGCTAATTGTTTAAAAAGATTAGTTGTACATGGACTGGCAAAAACAAATTGCTGAGGCAACCAATATGTCTTTGTCATTCACTAATGCACTATTCCTGTAAAGCAAGGCAATAAAAGAAAACAAACAGATACCGGTAATAGTCCTTACGTGAACATTTATCCTCTGATTCTACTTCAGCATTGGAAATTATTAGGTAAAGGGCCAATTATTCTCTTAATCTCTGTTCCCAGTTTAAAGCTAATGCTAGTTTATTTTACAAGGCTATTGCAACAACATGAAATGGATTACAAGGACGTGTTAAATATTTTTACTTACTAAATGCAATTTGCCTTTGTGAGAGATCTAATATCCAAGGATTAAATGCTTACCTTCAAAACAATACTTTTTAGTGGAATCAATTTGCAGATTCAACTGTACTTTTCTTCTACTGCTGAGTAAACAAGCGACATACGTGCAAATATAACCCTTAATTCCCTTCTCTGATAAATAATTTAGCAAACCTAGGGAAATTAATTTACAGTCTGGCCCCTAAATTGTTAACAAAAAAGCAAGCAAACAAAGCTCTCCAAATACTTACTGTGAAATGGTGTTTGTATCTAGGTCAACACAGCTAACATCTGGTGGAGGGTCATAAAGATCAAAATATCTGGAATCAATTCCTACGATGAATGGACACGGTGCACTCAGAACATCAGCCAAGGCCAGGGGGCAGAGAGGAATGTACGGGCACGGCCAGTGGAAAGGAAATATCATCTTTCAAAAGAGAAGAACAAAAATATTGAATGCAGATAGCCAGATGTGCTTCAAGAAAAACAAGGTGGACAACCTGTAACTCTTGAACTGATTTCAACACATCCAAAGAGATGTTTTAGACCCTGAGTAAAGAGCTCTTGTGTTCCCCAGAGAACATGTTCTAATGAATGTCTATGGAGATTCTCAGTCGTCCAGGTCATGGCTGTCCTTTTTCAAAAGGCAACTGAACTTTCTTAGTTTTTCTTTGAAGAGCTTTCACTTCTCATTCAAAGAAGCTGCTTCAGTTCTGACCTGACCGTCAGTCCGAACTGAAGAAGCTTCTTAGATGAGAAGTGAAACCTCTTCAAAGAAAAACAAAGTCTGGTTGCCTTTTGAGAAAGCACCTTTGGGATTTTCTGCTGAAGACAAAGAGGGTCTCAGTGTATAAACATCTCAAGGTATAATATCTATACATGCTTGTTATTTGGAGACAGTTTTACGTTGTTCATTTTATTGATTGTACTTATTGGTCAATGAGCGAAATAAAGTTTCTGTCTGTCTGATTCTGGTCAACCTTTCATGAGGACCCTGGCCTAGCCTATTATACCTGGAAAAAGATGCTTCTTGACAAAAGAAAGGCTGTCTGCCTCTGAAGAAAAGGGAACACAACCAAACCACGTTCTGCTTTCAATATTAGTACATCACTATGGAAAGTAGCCCTTCCTTCCTTTTAAAATATTAATTAGGCCAATGGAGGCGTTCTCTTCAATAAACTACTTGAAATAATAGTATGATAATAATCCATGATTATTGATTGATATATTTATACCTGCCTTTTCCAACAACAAATAACGCTTTATTTATCTCTGCTAATTTGTACGAAATGGAGGACCTTGGCACAAGAACTGTGGTACTGATCTGAACTAGATGGAATAATAGGGCTCTGCAGCCATCTGTTCAAACATCCTCAGGAGGTGAAAGCAGAACAAACAAAATGTTTAAAACGTGACGCTCAGCATGAAGTGGAGGCCAGGAGGGGCTTCTGCTAGCTCAGTGGAATTTTTGACTTCGCTTCTTTGAACAACTGGCCTTCCTACCAGTGTGGGAACCTCCTGCTCAGTTTGATCTGCAGCTGGTATGGAGCTAAACACGCTAAAAGCCACAAGCTCCAAAATGTTGCAAACAGATATGGATCCTAGAAAAGGGAGCAAAGGCCCATCAGAACATCAGAGTCAGAACATCAAAATGACAAAGAGTCAGAAGGAACCCTGGAGGTCTAGTCCAGGGGTAGGCAACCTTGGCTCTTTTATGACTTGTGGACTTCAACTCCCAGAATTCCTGAGCCAGAAAAATGTGAAGATGTCTATATTTAATTGTATATGTATTAACAGTAACAAGAATTGTTTTTGCCCAGTGTGGAAAAATGCTTATCACCAGAAGAAGAGAGGACCAAGGAAGCACTAGATGGTGTAGTATTGGAACTAGACTGAGAAAGTTAATATATACCACTGAATTACCAATGGACCCAGACAACACGTTGTTTATGATTGTTGCAAGTAGAGGACTATCTGTAATAAATTGTAAGAATTATTTTTAGGACCCTGAGCTTTTGAAAAATATTTTACGATCAGTTGGTTGGGGGGTGTGCATGTGTGTGTGTTTTTTTCTTTTATCTTAATTGTAAAATATGTGTTTGAGAAATTCTCATGACTTACAGAGACCAGAGCTTCGGTTACGCTGGTGAGGACCGAAGGGCGTAAGGAGTGGATGAGGATTTTATGTTCCGTCACTGCAAAAACCAGGAGATTTACAGCATTCTCAGGTCCCAGATTCTGCAGAAGAGCAGAAAACTTCCCTCCGCTAGTAATCAAAGAAAAAGGAATAGGAATAAATACTACAAATGGCATCTTTCTGCCACGAACTGAAGTACGTTTCTTCCCAATGTTAGCCCAGCAGCGAATGACTCAGCATAAGAGTATTCAATTACTAATCTGAGTAACACTAAAATTACACAGCACAGAATAGATTAAAAAGCAGTTTTCCATTTGGCGCTCCATTAACTTTTAAATAAAGTTGTAGAGTGAAGTTTGTAATTAACATGTGCACACAGTACAGCCAGAAATGGACTTAATTCACTACAAACAAGTCATTAGAGATCAAACAAACCAGACATGGAACCCTTGCCACACTCTCTGAACCTAGTTTCGTTCTTTGCTGCATTCAATAAATTAGGATTCACAAACCAAGAACAAGTTTTGATGTAGCTTTGACTGACTTTCAGCTTGACTGGAAAGTCACCATTCCCATTTTTAGTGTGCTTGACCTGCTCACCTAAAGAAAAACCACAAACTGGATACTGTTTTCATAACATTTATTTTAAAAAAAGCAAGAGAAATCTAGGTACAACTGAAAGGAAACTGTAGTATAAAAGTCCTGCTTTAAAATGGATGATTTTATAGAGAACTTTTTTCTGTCTTGTTTTCCTCATCGCAACCTTTAAGAATTAGAGAGGAATCTAATCCTTCTTTCTTGATATAGTTATATATTTTTATTGTTGTCTTCTTCACTAATTTCTAAGTTGGTTTGCTCATCCCTTACATAACAGCACACAAATATATATACACACACACACATAGTTTACTTGCCTCAGCGGTAGAGGTGATGATATGGGCTGACTAAGAATCAGATTATCATGGGGTGATAGCTATAAAACAATAAAAGCATGGTTTTTATATTTACCCGAAGATTTAAATATAAAGCAATTTGTTTGTATAGAAAACATATTGCCTGTCACAGAATTAATACCACTGCTGTGGCTTGAAAAACATGATGGTTAAATATGCAGAACTCTAATGTTAAAAAAAGTGTAAAGATATATTCATGTGAAATAGATATTATGGTTTGATTCCAGAATCTCAAGCAGCTTCAAGCACTGTTCTATTTGCTTGCACATTCTATCAAACTGGTTAAATAATTTATTACAGATGTCCTTTCCCAAAAAAAATCCAAGAAAGTGCCCAGAAAAAGATGCAAGCTGAATATTTTAAAAACTGCCAAATATCTTTTTTGTAATTCATCTCCCACATCACATGCATTGGAGCTTTTAAACGTTAAGAATACTGAGTTGATTTTCATAAATCTAATGAAGGGGAAAACTCCACCAATCAGATTGGATTGTGAAATGATTTAAAATAGCAAAAAAAAGTATGTATTTTTGGGTAGGGCCCAAGAAAGTCTGAAAATAAAATTGAATTCTATATCAAATGTGTCTGGGGCTTGTTTTTCAAAAGGTGATCCAGAGATATTTATCAATGGACAGATTCAACAAGCCAAATTTCTAGGAAATGGGATTTTTTTTAAAATTAGTATCTGATACTCTAGCTTTGTTTTATAATGATAACATTTAGAAAAGACCAATTGTTTTCATTTATCAACTGCTCCCAGGCCTAGATATATTTAAAAAGTAGATAATGTGACAAACATTGTAACATAAAAAGTCTGACTTACACAAATTTCTTGATGGCTTCCAGCATCGAGTAGCAAATTGGCAGTTCCAAGTCTATAACATTTTTACAATGTCTTTTATTTGTTAGTGGAACCTACTCATATGAACATATGAACAGAATGGAATAAATTTACACTTACCTGAACTAAAATCCTTGGTCTTTGTGGAGACGGAAAAGGAACCTTGTGCATAAAATGGGAAATATGCCTAAGGAGGGAATAATCACTTTGTATTAAGAAAAATAAACAAATCAGCATATGTTTATAGAATGCATGCTAGACTTTTACGAGATCATATTCATAAGAGAGTATTCTTCAGATTCTTGGTTTATTGCTTTACAAAGGGGTGCAGGGGCATCCTAAACCCATTTGAAACTGAGCAAAGATTTATTTAGGCCTCAGATTCAGACAGAAAGCTGGACTCTGGCTACTTTAGTAGATCTCAGTTGCATGCAGAGCTAACTACAATGATAGTTAAGGGTGCGTGGAGCACAACCTACCCCTCCAACTTACTTCTCAATAGGAAGGACGTGGGGACCAGATATTGAATAGCGGTAAAGAAAAGTGAGAAATTTCTTGAAGGCATCGAAGAACGGCCAGTGGGACAGAAGGCAGATGCACTTGTTAGTTTGAACCGTTTTGGAGCTGGGTGGGGCCATGAATCCCAGCTGAGATTTCTGTTTTTCGGTCAGATTTTCTTCAGAGTACGTTTCATAGAACTGAATAGCAGCACCATAGACCTGTAAGTGAGAGTACATTTAATTTAAGTGACATGGGCCTCCTGCAACCACAAGTGAGTTCTTCAGCTCTACAGCATCAAATATTTCTGCCATAGGCAATGCTGAAATGTAATGCACATCTGGTGTAAACATTGCAAATATACTTTTAGGAACCTGGAAAAATAAGTACTCGATTAAAGTGCTAGCTTTATATATAGTAGCAGGCTAATGCATCACTTCTCAAAGAGCAATAGTGCGCTAAATTTGGATCCCAATGAGTCACTGATAGGAGGACTTTCCCTTCTTCCATTATCCAGGACTTTAGATAGAATCCAGTGCCCTTCCATCAAAAATTAACCTGGAAGAAATTTTGGGGGGAGGGAAGGAGAGAAAATAGGACCTCCTCGTTTCTAGGAAAAAAAGCAATTCTATCAGCAAAATACTATAATCACATTTCATTCTACATTTTGTAAAATTGCCCCTGCTCAAACGGAGAGCAGAGAACAATCCTCTGGTACCCAAACTGAAGAAGCAAATTGTTTTGACAACAAGGATTCTGAAACAAATTGACAAATTCAAAATGCGTAGGGATGTTTCTGTATACAAGTAGTTCCTCGAGCTCAAAATTTCTGTTCTTAAGCAAGACAGTTAAGTGAGTTTTGCCCCATTTTAGGACCTTTTCTTTTAGGACCACAGTTGTTACATGAATTGCTGCAGTTGTAAACATAATAACACAGATAAGTGAATCTGGCTTCCTTCTTGATTTTGCTAGTCAGAAGGTTGCAAAAGGGGATCACATGATCTCGGGACACTGCGACCGTCGTAAAGGTGAGCCAGTTACCAAGAGTCTGAATCATGTCACCATGGGAATGCTGCAACTTTTGTTAAGTGTGAAAAATGGTCATTAAGTCACTTTTTTCAGTGCCGTTGTAACTTCAAACGGTCACTAAACAAACGGTTTAGCGGACTACCTGTGTTTGTATGAGAGAAAGAGAAAATAGATGGCTGGACAGATGCGCTGAATGCGGCAAAGAGACAGGGGGGGAAAAAAGAATGAATGGCTGCATAACGAAGGCAACAGTGAACAAATTGTCACTTTAGAACAGCGGTCCCCAACCTTTTCTATACCCCGCACCCCTAGAACGCTTCTGATATATTCTCGCACCCCTTGCAAAAAATTATGCCTATATACACTATAATTTTGAAACTTCTAAATCCAAGTTTTTGCACCCCCTGGAATATCATCTCGCACCCCCAGGTTGGGAACCTCTGCTTTAGAAAAAGCTTTGAGCCTTCCAGCTGTTTGGCCAGCTTGCTAACTGACCAAACTCAGAAAAAGCAAAAGAACAAACACCAAAACAGATTTCCAGAAAAACTGCAGACTGCAGGAACCACTTGGCTTCAGTTCGAGATGCAGACAACACAGAGTCTGTCTTCAACAGGGAAGAATCACCAGGCAGAAAACATCCTGCAAAAAGCACAGCTCCGACTTCTCAATAAATCAGGGGATCCTGGAGACACAGACAAACCTCCAAGTGGCTTCAACTACTCTCTAAAAGAATGCAAGTGGCAAGTCAGAACTTAAGAAGCTTCTTGGATGAGAAGCGAAACGTCTTCAAAGAAAAACAAGAAAGTCCAGTTGCCTCTTTGAAAAGCATCTTTGGGACTACCGTGACCTGGATGATTGAGAATCTTCACAGACACCAAAATGACAGTTGAGGACAAATTGGTCGTACCTTTTCAGCTGAGGCTCCAGTGAGCACAAACGTAGAAAATACTGGGAGGGGATATTTGCTATTGGAAGGCCAGCATTCAATGGTTGCCCCCATTGGCAAGCAAAAGAGAGGGACCGACTCTGGTAGAGGAAACGAATCGTAGTCTTTCTCTGGATATCTGCATATGAGACCTGGAGGAAGCAATGTTCTCTGTCACTCAAAGATTATGTACATAAGAAAAAACTAAAATATATATGAACTAGGATGCACACAGAAATAAACTGTTTTCAATTTCTCTACTTCTCTGTACTCATACTTCCGTGTCAGAAGCATCAAAGTGCTTCCGTGGTGAAAGGACCTGTCAGTGACATCAACCGTTGCCTAGGAGATGCCCAGTTGGGGGCTCCTTTCACGTCCCTGCGAAGTTGCCCACCGAAGTGGTATTTGCAGTTGCCCGCTTTTGAACTGCTGGGTCAGCGGGAACGGGAGCGTGCAACGGGAGCTCACCCCATCCCACAGAACTGGTCTCAAACGTGGTGGATGATCGTCAGCCCAGCGTTCTAACCTTGTGAGCTATCACGCGCCTTCTACTTCTCTGTAGAAAATAGGAATAGTTTGAATTCATTCTGATTCAAAATTAAGCCCCAATGAATAAATCAGAGGCCAATTTGAACATTTGCCTGAATTTGCCTCCCATTTCTTTTCTTTTGTTTATTCATTTTCTAAAGCTGCCCATCTCAATCCAACTGACTCTTCTTTAGCTGAATTTGATTACTTTTAACACTGATTCTGTCTTCGGTGGATGAGTTTATTGTTGCGCAATCTCAGGCAGTTTGTTGCTTTGTGTTTCAGTGTGTTTTTGTGCAAAATCAGGTGGCAGGATTAATTAGTACAGCAACCTTAAAATTAACCAAGCTTCCTATGTGCGAACCAGCCCCAAAACAACACCTTCCCTGTTCCATACTAGCTATAGTTTAACCCGGCTTCTTCTGAACATAAATAAAACCACTATGACAATGAAATTCGTGAAAGCCTGAACAAGTAAGCTCAAATCCAACAGGTAACCTAACTCAAAATTACCGTGACAGAAATATTCATTTGTGTTTAAAATATTTTAAATCGAACACCGTGGAGACGTTTGGAAACATCTTCAACTAGAGCAAATGAGGAAAATTCAGAGTTCAATATGGCTCAATTTCCCATTGCTTGTTTATTCACTACAAATAGTCCTCAACTTACGACCACAACTGAGTCCAAAATTTATGTTGTTAAGTGAGACATTTGTTAAGTGCGTTTTGCTAGTTGAATCTGGCTTCCCCGTTGACTTTGTCAGGTCACAAAAGCTGTTCACTTGACCCTAGGATACTGCGACCCTCATAAATATGAACCAGTTGCCAAGCATTCGAGTTTTCATCATGTGACCGCAGGGACGCTGCAATGGTCGTAAGTGTGAAAAATGGTCATAAGTCACTTTTTTTTCAGTGCCATTGTAACTTTGAACAGTCACTAAATGAACTGTTGTAAGCAGAGGATTATCTGTGTTCATAGTTCTCAAGGCAGTCTTTTAAATTATGTCATCTTCAGCGCCAGAACAGATCTTTGGCTGAACTCAGCGTGCAAAACAAAATGTGCCGTATTTACCTTATTACACAAATATGCATGCCACCTGATTCACTGATGCAGGATGCAATTACAGCATCCTTGGCAAATGACACTCTTGCATTTGTCTCAACACTTCCTGTGTTGAAGGGGGGGTCCTCAGGCATTCTGCTCCAGTCTTAAATATCTGAGCAAAGACGATGCGCCTCCTAAGCTGTAACTGGGAGTTTGGTTTATTAGGGTTAATAATGCCACTGCTATCCACTACGTCTCATCCTGTCCTCAGAATAAGCGGTAAATGAATCTGCTCCAGCTTCTGCATGTCATCACTTCACATGGATGAAGACAGCTATAATGTCTCCCCTTTGGCTTTCCCGATCCGGATTGTAATACATTCAAATCTGTTTCCTAGTCTTCGTGTTGGTTTCAAACACTCATTTTTCTGACTGGCTGCATTCCGGTTTCTAGATGGTCTTCTAGAGGTTAAGACCAGAATCAGAGCATCATGAGCCACGGTAGCGCGGTGACTAGACTGCAGAATTGCAGGCTGACTCTGCCCACTGCCAGGAGTTTGATCCTGACCGGCTCAAGGTTGACTCAGCCTTCCATCCTTCTGAGCTCGGTAAAATGAGGACCCAGATTTTGGGGGGAGCAAGATGCTGACACTGCAAGCCAAAGCATTATAGAGCGGTATATAAGTTTAAGTGCTATTGCTATCATCCAATTGGAACTATAATTTCTCATGAACTGGGGTTAATGCTTCATGGTTCTTTCTCATTAACTGGACATTATGTCAAGCAGCCTAAGACTGCATGAGTTTTGTTGGTGTCTGCATCATACTGCTGGCTTATGTTCAGTGTAATTATCTAGGACTCCTAAATGTTTTTTTTTTACCTGTCAAGACAAATACTAGCCTTCTGGCAAGCTGAGTTTCTTCCACCCCTTTGAGGTCCTCTGATTTATTTATTCCTTTTGTTTCGGAATTTGTTTGGCTTACATTCATGGCACTCAAAAGTGGTTTTTAAAAAACCACCAACTCTTTAAAAAAAAGGAATAACATTTTTAAAATTATTGTGGACATCACAACTGTGACCATGGCACATGTCATGTACATATAGCTCTTTAGAGGCTGATCTTTGAATCATTTATTCTAGAACTGTGCAAAGTTTCCTGCAGGCTTTTAAATCCTCACTTATGTTATATTAATTGAGCCCAATTTCCCTTTTGGAACCAAACAGATATAAAATAAGATTCATTTATTTGGGTTATTCACTGATGAATTGATTAATAAATGTAGGAGTAACTTCTTTAGTTGTTAGTAATATATCCAAAGAGAAAAGGAGTGTAAAATAATTTGTTTTTATTCAAGATGTTGTTGAATTTGATTCAGGTTTAGTCATTTAAGAGATTTATATTTGGATGTCTGCGTATTCATTTCATGGCTGCGACTTAATCTCTATTGTTTTGACTAGCATTATCTTTTTACACTGCTATCATTATTCTCTTAATAACAAATGTGGGTGGTAAAATGCGTATCTATTTGGCAACCAAACAGGGCCACCCAGCTGTAAGACTGTGGCTTATGCAACTATCAGATTACTAGAAAGTCAAAATAAAAGAGAAAAAATGCTATTAAAATAGTCTGACAAAGAGCCCCCTCAGTGATACAAAAAGATAGAAACTACAAGTAGTCTTCGACTTACGACTTTTCATTTAGTGACTGTTCAAAGTTACAATGGCACTGAAAAAAAATGATTTATAACCAGTCCATCTGAGGGAATCTTTCTGAATCTGTCTGGACATTCAGATCTGCAAGACAAGCACATTCAAAGCCTTTTCCTGGCTTTACTTCTACGGAAGACTCTCCCCAGAAAACTTCCCATTAGAAGATTAGATCTGGCATAAAATTATGCCAGGTCTCCAAACTTACCAACTTTTAGACTTGTGGACTTCAACTCCCAGAATTCCTCAGCCAACATAGCTTGAAGACTTGAAGACCACAAGACTTAAAAACTGACAAGTTCCATGGATTAGATTAAGATTAGACCTCGCATGACCAAGTTCCCTTCCAACCCTATCATTCTATCTTCTATATCTTTCTCAATGCTATTCTTTTTTTTTAAATGTATCTTTTAAAATATATTTTTGCTTACTTTTTATTGCAGCTGACTGCCTCAAATAATTGACTGAACCGAATGGGGGGATATCAATGGAATAAATCCAAATAGCAATTAAATAAAATCCGTGGAAAATGCAATCAATGGAATTTTGGATGCTGCCCTATCTCCGAATATGTGTAATATAGCTGTGTCATGTAAATCATGATTTTCCCTTTGTAGTGCTCAGAGCAGCTCCAGTTGCATTATTTTGCTATCCAAAATATTTTGAGAAGAGAATTGACAAATTCTATGTCCGAAGTTCAGGTAGCAATTTTAAATACTGGTTGTATAAAATAGCACGGCTACTTTTACGATGCTGCTAATTTTTCCAGTGAGTTCAACTCTACTAGCTCAGGAGCACAGTCAGAAAATTCAGTTTGACATTTTGCTCTGTGGATTACATACTACACTTAAATCTCTGAAGTATTTCAACAGACTTGTCCAGGCAGGTTCTGTAGGAAAAAAAATAGGCCTATTTCTGTGCTTGGTTGTTTGTATTTGTATGCCTCCAGAGTTTCCCAATTAAGTTTTCTTTTCTTTACTTTTTAAACTCAAGAACAGATATGAAAACACTTGACACTGAAATATCATTACCAGAATTCCCTTGTACATATGCTGGGGGAAGAGTAGCTCTTAGGGGCTGCCTAAACCTAAACATAAACTAGTAAGGTGACAGTTGAAATACTCCATACACTTCTGGTCACCACAATAAAAAAAAAAGATGCTGAGACCCTAGAAAGACTGCAAGGAAGAGCAACAAAAATAATAAGGGATCTGGAGGCTAAATCATATGATGAACAATTGAGGAACAATTGTCAGTGCTCCATTACTGGAAGTTTTCAAGATGAGATAGAACAGTCGTTTGTCTGAAATATATACGGCCTTCTGCTTGAGCAAAGGGTTGGACTAGAAGACCTCCAAGATCCCGTCCAACTGTAATTCTACGTTCTACATTCTAAACATAAAAATGAAATTTCTGCTCACGTGTTTTTTACTACATGTAATCCATAAACCCATAACGTGTATTCCCAGACCGCAAATGTTTTTTGAAATGAGTTTAGGATGGCTTACCTGCTTTGTATGATATGGTGTTGGTTTTTGCTACAGATTTCTTGTAACACAAGTAGGCTGCTAAGCCCCACTGTGGAAACATAACATTGGAATGAGCAAGTTAGCCTTCTAGGCAATGTTGAAACCAAATGTCATATCATAAAGACTTAAACCAATCTGATAACACCAGCTGTGTTCAATAAAATGCTGCTTCTTTAAACCAACTTCTCTAATTACTAATGGAAGTGCTCAAAGATCATATGAAAAACTTTATTTTTTCATATTGGTAAGAGATGGCAACCTTTTTTCTTTTTATTGGATTCATACTGATTTAAACCTTTTGGAACAATACTTAGTTCTCTTAACTTGCAATTACTCACTCTAGGACTCCTTTTCAGCAAAAATGGCATACAATTTTGTGATTTCTATGTAGTACTAATTTGTTTCTGCTGCTAGCAACATGTCTGGGCAAACAAAACATTTACCATATCCCATTAAACATTGCCACACATCTAAATTCCAGAGCAGACCAGAAGTAAAGAGAAAGGGCTGCCAACAAAAGCAATTTGGACACAGATGTTTGGGATGTAAAAGACATGTTTTCATGTATTATGTGCATGATAAAATGTACATTTTCTCTGTGCTTTTTTTCTAAGAAATGGCCTAAACCACATTTTATCATTTAGAAGCAGCCTTAAAGGACAGGGAGATAAGAAAATGTTTATTTTCAAAAATAAACTGTTAGCTACCATTTTTTTTTACATGTGAAGAAGTCCTATGTGCTTTTGATTCAACTGACTGTTTAAACAGGATATTTTGATTTTCTACCACTCAGAATATCAGAAAATAGTATAGTTTAATTCATGCCTTTAAACCAGCACATAATTTCAGAACTGTTATGTGAATCATTAATAGTTAATACAAAGAAGATGATGAAAACCTTCAGTCACATTGAAGCTAGTAATTGCTGAACACTCATTTAAAAAAATAATATTTGCACTTGAAATATTAGCCATAAGGGCAATATTTCATGAAAAATCTCAGATAATAAATCGGTATCAGATACTAAATGCAAACGGGGAGAAATCAGTGCGAATTCCCAGTGATACAGCAGGATATGTCAATGTTTCTCAACCATGCCAATCTGAAGAGGGGTGGACTTCAACTCCCAGAATTTCCTAGCCAGCATGGCTGTCTGGGGAATTCTGGGAATTGAAGTCCACGCCTCTTAAACTTGCCCAGGTTGAGAAACACTGTTTTGTGGCATTCAAGAATTGCTAAGAACAGACAACATTATAACACAAGCAAGTCAACAAGAGTAGAACGTGAGTTGCTCACTCATCAAGAGCAGCATGGCAAAACCTAGCCACAACTAGCCAGAAACCCTATAATAATTCAGAGTATTAAGATGAATTAATAGACCCTCATCTCTGCTACCTTATTATTTATTAATTACATTTATATCCCGCCCTTCTCCTTACGGACTCAGGGCGGCTAACAATCAGATAAAAAACACACACATTATACACCTAATTAAAATTTGATTAAAAAGAAATGTTTAACTCGTCAAATTTAAAAATAGATAAAACCCCTTTAAAATCCCTCAGGCCAGTCCCGCAAGCTGGAACAACCACGTCTTGAGGGCGCGGCGGAAGGAAGGGAGATCAGGGATCACCCGGATCTCTGGGGGTAGTTCGTTCCAGAGGGTGGGGGCTCCCACAGAGAAGGCCCTCCCCCTGGTGGCCGCCAGCCGGCACTGTCTGGCCGACGGCACCCCGAGGAGACCCACTCTGTGAGAGCGTACAGGTCGGTGGGAGGAAATCTGCGGCAGGAGGCGGTCTCGAAGATACCTTAAGTATTATCAATCCACCGAGGAAGAATAACTCGAAATCCAGAGATCATCTTACCATACTATTGTTCAGATTCTTGTCAACTTTACAGAAGGTGTGTGGTGGGGTTTCCCCTTTACTTGGGATAATGATGCAGATGTCGGTGACCGCCAACGTGTTCTGGGTCATATTCTCCAAAGCTCTTCGATAGGTTAGATAAACTTTCTGGGACGAGGCACCGCTACTGATATTCGCAGGGCGGCCAGATGGGGTGGTCTGAATGATCTCACAGCCCTGTTTTAACCTCTCTTTCCCATCGTACAACACCCTAGGCAGAAGACAAATGAAAAGCAAGCGCTGAGCCAACTCAACTCTGAAATTATGCCTAATGTTCTAAATAATCATCTCTACTATAAATTTGATTAGGACATTATTAATATTGAGAGTGTTATTTTTTTTATTCCTTTCTTAACAACCTCCAGAGAGAATTTACTTTTTTTCATGGCAATCGAATCCTGAGTCAGTTTTTCGGTTTTTCACAGCTGTTCGTCTGGGATGGTATAAGATCCTATGACAGTGGTGGCGAACCTATGGCACGCGTGCCAGAGGTGGCACTCAGAGCCCTCTCTGTGGGCACGCGCGCCATCGCCCCAGCCCCGCCTCTCCCCGCGGTCCCTTTCTCACAAGCAGCCCCCCTGGAGGAGAGTCGCCCCCAGGTGCGGCCTGTGCGGAGCAGCATAGCCAAGGACATGGCAGCCAGGCAGCGGGAACAAGACTCCACCCTCGCACCTCATCGTGCGCAGATGCTGTTGCGGGGTGTGGGCGGAGGGCGTGGCCACCATGGTGCTGCTGGGCCACCTGGATGATCTGTAGTGGGCCGTAGAGGCGGTGGGTGGCCCTGTGGGCAGGTGGGGCAGAGGGCGGAGCAGGGGGCGGGGTGGGGCAGGGCGGTTTTTGGGCACTCGGTCTCTAAAAGGTTCGCCATCACTGTCCTATGATTCTGTGACTCCGTGGAAAGGCCCAGAGTTTCAACGGCTTTCTCTGGATGCTTCATTTCAATAGTGATCTCAGTAGAAGTGAGTTTTGGATGCACAGCCAAATGCGGGAAAGCCCTCAACATGGCCAAATTTATCCTCCTGAAGGATGCAGCTGCTTTAAAGCTCGGAAGGCGGGTGTTCCATTCACCTGACATACATTATGAATGGCTTATTTTAAATTCTTTGCACAGCCTATTCAAAACTCCTTCAATTTCATTCCCTACGGATGCTTTCTGCCATATTAAATGCTTCCCAATTCCTGCCAGGCTTCCCCAGAACAATAAACTAGGAAAGTAAAACTAACTTACCCCAGATCCGTAAGTGGGGGCTTATCCCTTCCTCTCCTGTAGCACATATATATTTGGGGCCCCATGAGGCTGCCATTGTTGAGATCAGCAGACAGTCCTGACGGAGTGACATCGATGCATTTGTATCCGGGAGGGATCTCTTCCCCAAGAGATTTAATTATCACCGCCACGTCTGTGATGGGTTCTTTGGGCTTTGCAAGCTTATGGCAAGCATCGTTGAAATGGATTTCCTCCTCAAGTGGTTTGGAAATATCAGTTAATCCCGCCACCACAAAATAGTCAGCAACCCGAGATCCTCTGTCTTCCATCTTCCATTCCAGAAGGTTCTATCTGGCAAAGGATTAAAAAAAAAACCACACACACAGTGAACTTGACCATATGGAAGTATACCTTAAAACCAGCAACTTTCAAGAACTAGTACATTTTTTGGGGGGGGGATGACTCGGCCACGTTCAGTTTTATGTAAAACAGTCGTCTCCTTCCCCTCGTAATGGAATGAAAATACACTTAGGTTTCAGGATTCTTCTTTTTATCCGCAGCTTAAGCAAAGGGAGAAAACATGGCTGAAGGCTTTTCCCCAGACTGAACACTGCTGATTCCCTAAGTATTCAAGTCTTTAATCCTACATTAAGGAGAAAGAATTAGAAGGAAGGCAAAAAGGCTCTAAAGGAGAAAGAAAACGGAAAAGGAGGGAGCAATGACTTTTCAATCACCGCTCCTTCACTATGAAAGCCCCACAGCTGGTATCACAATCTATAAAATAAAATAAATTTCATTATAAGTATGCATTAATAGTTATATAACTAAAATGTGTAATGTTAGAATGGAAATGTATGTATGTTAATGCATTTTATGTTTGAAAGATGTATAATTTTTTCTACTTTAAAAATAAAAATTTTCAAAAAAAATAAAAATAAAATAAATTTCAAAAACAGCATTTGGCTTTCTTTAGTCTCCAGTTTGCCTCCACCTTATCAGCACAACTAAGCTGGCAATTCTGAGTTTGAAGCCAATCCCTTATCCCTAGTGCAGGGGTAGGCAACCTTGGCTCTTTTATGACTCGTGGACTTCAACTCCCAGAATTCCTGAGCCAGCATGGCTCAGCTTGGAAACCTCTCCCTTTCCCCTCAGCATGGCTGGCTCAGGAATTCTGGGAGTTGAAGTCGACGAGTCATAAAAGAGCCAAGGTTGCCTACCCCTGCACTACGGAGTGAGGCTTCTCCTCTTACCTGAGGCTCAGTTGTCCCTGACGGGAGAGGAGGGATCTCCAGTGGTAAGGAAGAAGAAAGATGAAAGCAAAAAAGCAGCTCCTCTCCTTTTCTCAAAGCTTACTGGAAAGCAGAAAACTCCCAGCTTCTGATTGGCTCCTCGGCATTTAAGTTTCCCGAGCTTCTGTTGTCTCTGCCCATCACCTGGATCCCAAAATCAGTTCATTGTTCTTCCGATGCATTGGAACGCGGCAACTCTTACAAGCGGGCCTCCAAACCAGCAATAAATCAGTACAACTGACACTGAACCGGCTGATATTGCTTCATAGGTTCCAAGAACTAAGCCTCGATACAATCAAACGTATTTTTAAACTATGGCCTGCCAACCTTCTAGGGAAGTCAGGGTGACATGCGTAGCTGTCATTCACCACTTTCACTTCCCCCTTGTTCTCAAAGGACATAGAGAAAGGACAAGAACTCAGGAAGGCCCCAGGTTGCCTAATGATTAAAAGGGTCCAAGGGGAAACATTTCCGTCACTCGGTTGGGCAATGCTGAAGAACCTCTTGTAGGACACTTCCTTCCCATTTTGGACTTCCTATTCATCACTAAACACCCAAGAAGAGCCGCCGATCTGCTCGACCAGAGCAGTTGAGTTACGTTCTTGAACAGCCAATCATTCCTGGAGTCAAGCTGGCTGGAAGAACATCTTCCACTTCTAAGACTAGACTGAGAAAGCCTTCACAGATAAAGAGGAGAACATCTACCATTGAAGCCACGTTTATCAATAAATAATATTCATTGCTTTGAGCAGGACAAGAAACAATGGATGGAAACGAATCAAGGAGAGAAGCAACCTAGAACTAAGGAGAAACTTCCAGACAGTGAGAACAATTAATCGGTAGAACAGGTTGCCTTCAGATGGTGTGGGGCGCTCCATCCCTGGAGGTTTTTAAGAATAGATTGGACACCATTTATCTCAAAAGGTATAAGGTCCTCTGCTTGAGCTAGGGGTTGGACTAGAAGACCTCCAAGGTCCCTTCCAGCTTTGTTATAATGTTGTTATTCTGATTCAGAATAGAGATAATCACAAAAAACCCACTATCATTGGTTCTTTCAGCTGCATCTTTGCAGTCACAGCTTCATTTTTTTTTTAAAAAGGGAGATTATCATAAAGATAATTCCTCTGTGTGTGGGAAGGGAGATATTCAACAGAACTTCCGAGGATGACGGTGACGTCCCATCACGCCTACATCATCTCTCTCCATGACTACTGAAAAGTGGCTATGTTGTTTCATCCCCACTAATACGGCACTTTCCCCCCCCCTTCCCATAATCCTGGTAAAAACACTCAGAATTTCCAGCTCAATTGTGCTGATAAAAATAAGAGAAAGACTTAAAATATTTATAGGGCAATCCAAACGACACAAATACAGACCGTTCTCAAAAAAAGACAAAGCAGTTTATATCTAAGGGTGACCTGCCTCTCCACAGGGAAGAACTGATTTCTTCCCTGGAAGCTGGTGCTATTTCATCATACAGGCTAATCTAATTGATTTAAAAGAGGATACGGAGAGTTTTTTTAATTGAAACAGAGGAACGAGATTTCAGATTCTTTCTCTCCAGATGCAATGACTCCCTTGAAAACGTGGCTCCTGTTGCAATGGAGGTCGAGCATTTATTTAAAGCCAGCTAGCTCTCTGGCAGAAGAGAAAACAGAGATGACTCATCCGAGTTCAACAGAGAAGCTTCTTCCATCCCCTCTGTATACAACAAGTAAATCCTCCATCGAAATGGTTAATTCTCAAAAAAAACACAAGGATTTCAGCCAACTGCAGATTTTATAAACCTCATTTAACAAATCTCCCCTTGAAAAAAATATAACAATATCCCTTTAACCTAGGCTAATTATTGTAATTATTACAAAGAAGAAAGCATATCGTTCTTGTTTTTCAAAATTATCATTGTCTCTAGTCCTGGCCATTTCACACTTTTAGACAAACAAAGAAATGTTTTCCTACCTCTCAGCAGAAGATTAGAAGCATCCTGCAAAAGCCCCGTTCTCAAGCAGAAGATTCAAAGTTTGGGGGAAAAAATAATAACCCAGTAATGGTTACATCACAGCCTCCTGCTATGTCAGACAACAATTGCCTAATAACTGCACGTTTCACTTCTGAGAAATTAAAGCGGTATATGTAAAACAACGATTACATCAACGATACCTTTTTATGACCATTTATTTGGCTGTGCAATTCCTTTGGGCTTTCTTCTTCTGAAAAGCCTATTTCCAACACTTAACACAATGGGAAAAATCCACGTTCCATTTGTTATCCTAAGGCGCAATGGATTTTAACTAACCAGAATTTCTTTCCAAGCTGATTTGTTCATTAGCTTTCTGTCCTATGCCTTTTCGAAGAACCTCAGGAAATTAAGGAGTCTCCCCTACTTTTATTCCTGGGGAGAAAGGTATGTTTAGCCAAACGAAGAGAAGGCTTAGAGAAGACCTCATAGCCGTCTTCCAATATTTGAGGAGCTGTCACAGAGAAGAGGGGGGGTCAACCTATTTTCCAAAGCACCAGAAGGCAAGACAAGAGGCAATGGTTAAAAAGTAATCAAGAAGAGAAGCAATCTAGAACTAAGGAGGAATTTCCTGGTAGTGAGAACTATTCCTCAACGTAACAGCTTGCCCTCAGAAGTTATGGATGCTCCATCATTAGAGGTCTTCAAGAAAAGATTGAACAACCATTTACCCAGGATGGAATGAGGATTCCTGCCTTGGCAAGGGGTTAAACCAAGGTCTCTATGATTCTATTTCTATTTCATTTACACGTGCAGTAGCAACCTACATAGCTGCCTGGTTCAGGAAGTAGACAGCCACTTAATATTCACACATAAGGAATTACCTAGATGAATGAATAATAGCATGTTAGCAATGTAATTAAGAAACACTTCAAAATACATTGTTGGTTATTGTATCAGCTGGCCTTAAACCCCAACACTGTTTTTTTCCTTCTGTTCAATCCTGTCTGATTATCAGACACAAAGTAATCGGATTATTTAAGACAGAAGAGCAGTTCTTTCAACTGGCTTATCCCATTTTTTCTTCTTTTTATTTGGTCAACATGAATTAAAAGGAGCATATCCTAACCTCTGTGGGATGAAGGGCATTCCAAATTTAAATTCTAATTTCTTTCCCTTCCAGTTGACAAGCAGAATACAATAACTACATATATCAACACTGTCTTTTTTCAAAGCAAGCCATAACTCATTTTGTTTCTTGCTAAAAAGAACAAAACCTACAACTGTACTTATCCGATGGCAACAAGCCTGGGCTACAATATCACCTTCCTTTGTGCCACAACCCAACAACCATCTCACTCAGTAAACCACACCAACACGTCTGTCAACCGGTTGAACCGACTGGCCAATAAATCTACCGTATATCTTCAGAAGATTTAAATGTTACGAAGTACAAGAATAAATTTTATCAACGTGGAAAGTAGATTACAAGAAAGAAAATCTTTGCTGCCCTTGATATATTTTCATTTGGCCTGCTGGAAAGGTTGCACTATTCTTTTCCCTATAAATAAATCTGGTTCTACGTTTCAGCGCAGAACCCCAAGGAAAGCTTTCATTATTCAGTTAACTTTGCCAGCACAATACCAGAGTCACTTCCATCCCAAACCCTGTTATCACAACTGGTACTCTTTTTTGTAGCCTTGCTTTTGTATCTGACCTTACAACTGAATAACGTAGTTGCTCTCCTGAAGATGATGAACTGGAATCAAAAGTGCCACTTGCTGGCATCTATTCCGGAGCAAAAATTAAAACATTTCCCATAGATGATTGAAGAAAATGAGCCACGAGATCCTAAGTCTTTATTTTGAAGAGATACTGTTACAACTTAAGAGTCAACATAGATAATTAGATACTACCACTTTATAATGCCTTAGTAAGACCACACTTGGAATACCGCATCCAATTTTGGCTACCACAATATACAAAGATGTAGACACTCTGGAAAGAAGAGTGCAGAGAAGAGCAACAAAGATGACTGGAGCGCTGAAGGCTAAAATGTAGGAAGAACGATTGCAGGAATTGG